GAGGAATGTCCTACATGTCAAACAAACAAATACCAAGCTCTAAAACCAGCCGGGTTATTACAACCCCGGCCTATTCCTCAGAATATGTGGACTGATATTTCCATGGACTTTGTGGGAGGTCTGCCAAAATGACATGGAAAGGATACTATCATGGTTATTGTGGACAGATTGACAAAGTCAGCTCACTTCTTAGCCTTATCTCATCCATTTAATGCTAAAGAGGTGGCTGAATTATTCATCTAATTTGTTTTATCGGCATGGTATCAGAAAAGACATAAAGAAGTATGCATGGTTTCCCTAAAACTATTGTGAGTGACAGGGATAGCATATTTATGAGTACTTTTTGGTCTGAACTCTTCAAATTAGCTGGAACTCAACTCAAATACAGCACAACTTATCATCTCCAAACTGATGGGCAAACTGAAGTAGTCAACAGATGCCTAGAAACTTACCTGAGGTGTATTACTGGAAAGAAACCCAAACAATGGGTTAACTGGTTAGCTTGGGCTGAATTCTGGTATAATACCAACTATCACACATCCCTGAAAATGACACCCTACAAGGCTTTATATGGTCACGACCCTCCTACTGTCATTAGAAGAGGGGATGCTAGTATTACAGATGTGGAAGAAGTCTCCAAAATGACTGCCCAAAGAAACATGATGCTTAGAGAATTGAAGGAGAATCTGGAAAGAGCCCAAAATCAAATGAAACAACAAGCCAACAAGCATAGGAGAGAGGTGTTATTGACAATGGGAGACATGGTCTATTTGAAGATACAACCTTACAAGCTCAGGAGTCTGGCCAGAAGAATAAATCAGAAATTAAGCCCCAGATACTATGGCCCATTTGAGATAATTGGAAAAATAAGTCTTGTAGCTTTCAAACTTAAATTGCCAGAAGACAGCAAAGTACACCCAGTATTTCATGTCTCACTTTTGAAGAAAGCTATACCTTTACAACTGCATTTCAGCCCCTACCAAAATGTTTGAGTGAAGAATGGGATCTACAGGTGATACCAGAAGAAGTGTTGGACTCAAGGGTGTTAACAAGGAGGGAAAGATGGAAGTATTGGAAAGACTTACCTCAGTTTGAAGACTCTTGGGAAGTATTTCAATACTTTAATAAGGTGTACAAGAGGAGAAATAAGTAGTTATTATTACTTAAATAACGAGCAGTTAGTCCATATCCCTGCGTGGATAGTTGGGCTATAAATAGAAAGGGGGAAAATAATAAAGGCAGACTGTTATTTTCTGTTGGCTGGTAACTTGGAGATTGGGCATCACGAACTGTCCCATTGCTTGTACACATATTCCGACTTTCTCTCTATCAATAAACTGTTGTGATCTGTTCTTAATGCAATTCCTTAGAATTGTGATTGTTCTGAATTGAATTCTACCAGTGTTCTATCATGATGCATTGCTATTATCTTCTGCCAGGGAAAAGGTTACTCCTTAGCTACAGATATCCAGTATGTGATCCCCCCTACACTATTTTTTCTCCTTTGCTTTCGCAAGAGTCATTCTGTCCTATTTGCAATAGCCCAGTCAAAATGTCTGACATAGTAAATATGGCACGTTCTGAAAATGTTCAAACCAGTATGGATCTTGTGGAGTTATGTTGCCTGAGTTCCCGGTTTCAGATTTTACCTGCAGAGATCTCATCTACGAACGCTTTTTATTCACTCCCACCAGATCCAATAATTTCTCGAGCAAAAGATGTGATGTCTATCAATCAAAGCCTCCTGCTACGGTAAAAAAAAAAGTTTCCCTCTATGCTCTGGTTGATTGATGGAAAATATTTCTGTGAAAGGTTTTCTGAATTTCCCTGCATTTGAGATGGGAACAACTTTCCTTGATTTTATGATTTTCTTCAAAAAAGACTTCTTTTTGCCTTCCTTCACTAACTGGATTTTTTTGTGGATATACATTTGGATTCAACTTTCTGCACATATGCATATTATAAGATGCATTTTGTACACCTATTAATTTCTACAAAAAAATAAAGGTTGTATTACCAGGCACATTTATAGGGATTAAAATGAGTATTAAATGCATCTTATCATATGCAACTGCTGCATATGTTACTGCACATGTTACATATTCCTCTAAACCTTATACTAAGTGTGAAACATACACTATAGCACCAATCTTTTACATAGTTTTAGTTTTCAGTACCTATTGTTAATATTCTCATTTTTAGCACGAAGCTTTCAAGACATTCAGAAACAGAGAACCTTTAAAAACCTCTGTGAGGATCCTAGCAGACGATTTCCCCCCAGGACATGTTTCCAAAAGAAATACGCCAAATACGTAGTTTAAGTTATTTTCCATTTTTAAAGGGACATGCTTCATTTTCTTCAAAAACAATTATTAGTACTTTTAGTAGTCTATCATTTATTCATTTTTTCTTAAAAAAGTAGATGCACGTTGTCTATGTATGGATTGTTTATGAGTTTTATCTACTTCAACCTAAGTTTTCAATACAACATGTTGGCTGAATTGACTCAATTTGTTGAAAACTTGAAACTAATGAAATTCTAGTTGAAACGGCTGAATTGAATTTTTTTATATTTGAATACATTTTATTAATAAAAAAATTATGAGAATATAGCTAAGATAGTCGGTCATCTTCAACAATTTCAACCAATTAAGCCTGAAAATTAACTTCAGTCTTACTTATTTTGATCATATTACAATTCATCGTTGTGCAAAATCAATAATTACATGTTTGGTAAAAAAAATAGGATAGGTCGAATATAGGGGTTATCGAAAGGGCTCTATAACTTCTAATCAGTTAATAGTAGAAATTGTGTTTGCAAAAGTAAACATAAACATGATTTTACGAAATCACATAACAAAATCGTTGTCTCACTGAAAGAAAACCATGTTTTGGATAACCTAGGCCTCCAAAAAGTCATCAAGTTCAACAACAAAATCCATGCATAAATTTTGTATTTCTCCTTTTTTTATAAAAAGTAAATTAAAGTAAATAATATCTTGTGACTACCTACTATTGTTTCTTTTTTATATTATCCCATTACAAATGAAAAACAATGTGCACGTTTGACACGTTTGCCCTTGAAAGAATTCTTCCTTTTGGGCCCTAATGGAGGTTTTTGATTGTTTAATGTTCTTTGATGAATTATGAAATTTGATGCAGAAAACTTGGAATTTTAAAGGCTGGTGCTGAAATTTGAGTGGAATAAAAGGCTGATGCTAATATATGGGTTTCACCGATTTATGTAACAAAACACAATTCAATTTCCACGTGAAAATTCTCACTTGAAAGTAATTGTTTTCAACACTATAAAAAGACTTCGTTTATCATTTAAAAAATTGCCTAAATAGATGAAGTAAAAATGTAGTTTCCCCAAGTGGTACCTTTTTTTTACTAAATACGAATAAGTACTGCCATTGTGAAACCGCACTGTCATATCATGCCATTCATACAGTTTCATATAATTTCATAATGGCCGCACTGGAAAAAACATTGTAGTCCAATTAAAGGAAACCCCTTGTTTTTACTCCTTTGAGAAAATTCCCTATAACTTGTTTTATTGATGGCCTTTTCAGTTATGACATGTTTTCTTGATGTTTTATTCCTCAGAGAGCAAATAGAGGACTGCTTGCTATCAGACACTGAAGATGAGACCTAAACATGTGTATGCAATTTATTGTCTACATAGAGAGAATCTGGCATGAAGTCATAGACTCAGTTTAAGTGGAAAATTTAGTGTTCATGGCAAAAAGATTTGGAAGATTTAATCTGTGTTTCTAATTTTTTTTCCTAATTTTGGATGTGTTATTACTTTCTAGCAATTTTTATGTTAGATGTATGCTCACCTCACTTTGCAAGGTTGATTGCATGTTCGTGTTAGTAACATGGAATTAAAAGAAAAAAATGTTGTGTGATTCATTGTAATTTGAAGTTTAGTGGATGGGTTAAAACTTTTAAGTTCGCAGAGCTAATTAGAAGTGTTGATTTTCTCTAATTTGGATATATTGGAATTTGGAAGGAAAGAGTTTTCACGTTTGATAAACATAAAATTGGCTCTCACATTCTGTGTAACTCTTGAGTTTTAGATATTTAGATGCTATTGTATCATGTATCCTTGAACGGTTTTGGTCCTTCATGGCTTCATGTATGTATAACAGTACAAGGGGTGAAGTTCTAATAAGAAGAAAACTTTAGGTGAGAAATGTTGATGAATCTTGAAATATGGCGTGTACTAAAAAATGCAACAATATACGGTTTCATTTTCACAAATACTCTTGAAAACTCTGTGTTGCCATTCTCTAGACTCTAGAGTAATATGAAACTGTTTTAATGTAACATTAGACAAATTCTAATAGAACGTGAAACTACTTTAATGCAACATGACAAACTTTAAATTCGGTGCAACATGAACTCATGAAGTTGTTTCCGATGCAACATCGTAAATTCAATAAATTTATTCTCATTTATCACATTGGATGCATTTTTCACTTGAACTGAAATCTTAATTTCCTATTTCAATTCAAAAATCGATCTGTATCGACCTGGTCCGGTCTCAAGGCCTTTAACCCTTAATTTGACACATTGAAGGGCCAAAGGTCAAAAGAAATTCAGTCCTGCTCCAAAAGTGAAAAAATAAGTATGCTCAAACAATAAGAATGACCAAATAGTCATGTCCCTGAAATGTAGATACTTTCTATATAGTTTTAGTTTCTATCATGTTGAATAAAAGTTGATTCTAATTCAACAATTTCATACTATTCTCCGTTCTTTAACAGTTTGACTTTCACGTTTGCCAACGCACAACTTTGATTGAAATTTGATATTTTGGAATTTCACATTGATAGGAATTTAATAACATTTTATACGTAATAATTTGATTATGTATATTAGTAGAAGATCGTGGTCAAAGTAAGGTCTGTGAATAGTGCAAAAATCACAATGTTGCAAGAGTGGATATAGTGGGTTGGTAGAGAACATTTAAATGTGGCATCGCACGAAATTCCCCATAACTAATTCATTAATTGTTATTTTGTTTCACTATAATATTACAACTCCATCCTCTTCAAACAGCTAGGTTTGATTCTCTGTTATAAACATCAGAGAATCAACACCCAAACACCGTTGAATTAATAAATGATCATAAAAAAACAAAACAAAAATCTCCTCACAGAAATCCTTAGAATCAGCTCGTTTGTCAAACACCACCCTCACACATATATTAGCACACTGTATCTATACATTTCGCAAAACAGAAGAATATATCCAAAGCACTAGCACACAGGTTGACAGGTAGTTATGAATCATTGACCAGAGAAATAAGTTCCCCCAGTTGACTTCCAGCCACTACTATGCCAAACTTTTGTGCAAAAACTGCATTCACTGCATCATCTGTGAGGTCTTTAGGGGCATCTTCACAAGAGATTTGAATGTACTGATTTAGATTGTTTAAGGTTCCATCTGGATAGGCAAATATAGAAAATTGAGATAACTTATGAAACTCTACATGCCAAGTGTCAAAACTTATGGGGCTTATCAGTTGATTAATGCCTGATAGCCTGATACCACACACGTGGGTGCTAACCCGCTAATAGGCTAATGGTTAACAAAAAAAGGTTAAAAGGGGTAGTAACATGTACTCCCTCTGTCCCATTTAAATCTTTACACTTTCCTTTTTGGGACATCCCATTTACTCCTTTATGTTTCCTTTTTAGGCAACTCCTTTTACATTAAATGTCCTAACTACCCTTCACTACCTACCCATTTCTTATATTTGAGTGGATAGCATTAATTCCCCCCGAAAGTCAAAGGGCATGCAAGACATTTGTTCTTCTATTAATTGAGCTCCTAAAATACCGTGTCAAAAGCAAACATCAATTCTATCCGGGACGGAGGAAATTACTTAGTTTGTCTTCCCTCTGACACAAATTATTTTGATATCATCATGAAAAACAAGTTAGCTATAAACCTACAATTGCTGTTTGGGACAATCACACGATAAAAGCAGAGAAACATGTAGAAGAATGTGTGACTCAATTTTGAGGTAATTGCACGATCTGGTTGTTTCAGCCTTGAAGATTCTTAAGACGACTATATTAGGGAAGGTTCGAAACCTGGAATATGCTAGGAAAAGAAAACAGAGAAAAGTTAAGGTGATACTTAGAGCTTAAGGAAAGGAAACTAGAGGTAAAAAAATGTTCCAGCTCAGTAAATCCATTTTAGTATTCATACAAACTCATTTTATTTATAAATTTCTATTATATAAATACAGAAATATAACTATAATGTAAAATAATGAAGTGGTTATCAGATTTGATCTCCCTTTGTACTTTCCTAGGTAAAAAAAGGATAAACAAACTATTGTTCTCGTCAATTTCTGTTGGAATATTATCAACCCAGGACTTTAAACTTTAAAGATAGAGTAACTATCAATCAAGGACCTAGAAAAGAAAGCAAAATGCAGAACCACACAGACACTGGTGAATTCCGAAAAAGAAGCATGTTAGACGCATCTGTGGCTGTCCTGTACCTAACAACATTGAGCAATCATCATAATATAATTATATTATAGGTCCAGTTTCATAAAATTCAAAGCAATACTTTTTGTGCATTCACAGCATGAAATGACATATTATGGCTTGACTTTCATGTATGTACCTTCAGCAACAATGGCTTCATAAGCAGGAGGTTGAGACTGCCAGTTTCCTGCAGCATCTTTCATGTGGCTTCTATCAGATGCAAATGACTTGAGGAAAATTGGTGCATGCACAATCCGGAAATACCTGAAATGGGGGTGGGGTGGGGGATTAATAAAGTCAGGAGCGTCAACTATACACACATTGCTTCAGTAATATATGCTCGTATAATCTGATTTTTTAGGATATAATATCTGTTACCTTTTAAACTCTGAAAATAATGGAAAGGAAGGACGGGTGGTTTCAGCAATATAGGATTCTAGGGGAGAAGGAAACGGAAGAGTTGAATCTAAATCCCACACTAGATCGGATAAACTTTCATCTTTCCTTTTCTGAAAAAGAAAAGAAAAATTTAATAAATTCGAAAATGGTAATAAAATTAGCTTATAAAGTAGGTTTAATATCTGATCCTTTTGAGCAGAGATATGAACACATGGTAATCCAAATTCTCACCTGTATGCATATAACATGATAATCCCACAGAACAACACCATCTGCCCTATGGCTGGCCTTTTGATTCCACAATGGGACCTGGAGGATATCATGGATATTAGCATAGTTGCATTTCATACATATAAGATACTATATGTAGTAAGAAATTATCAATCCCGTTACCCTAATCTTATGTCAAATAGGGTAGCCTCTAGGGGAGAAATTCAAGAATATCATTTTAAGTAGAAAAAATTCCACTTTTAGTCAGAGGACTATAAAGTCATACTTCATGTCACATTTTTACAGAAATTGTTTGAAATAAGACTAAAACATTGACAAAATTCTAAAATAGGACTAAGTGTGCTTTCGTCCCAAAATAGGACTAATTTACTCCTATTAAAAGAATAAAATAATAGAAAATTCCCAAAATAGGAGGGAATGAGTCCTATATAGAAAAGAAAACAATGGCACTCCTATGTGAAGAATTATGTTATGTTTTACTCCTATTTAGAGAATTCTCTCGCCTTCTATCAATTATCCAATGATAAAGAAATTGTTTGAAAAAGTGGTATGAAGCAGTGGAAGACCTATATTGGTTTCAAAGTGTTCATGTGGACACCCAAAAGTTGAAAATAGAAGTAAACGATATGTGTAATAATTTTTGTATAATATTTCTTGACTTTAACTTCATTTACCATTTTTGTTGTTGTTGAAAAGACATATTGTAAACAATAAATTTCAATTTTTAATAGCAAAATAATTCTGATCTGAACACACAAAACTCGGATGTTAAATCTGCCACTGGTTTGAAGGACCAAAAGTGGCAGAGGTGAAAACAGGGAGGGGCGGGAGGGCCCCCCGGCCCCTGCAAGGACTAATGTATAAATACTTTTAATTTATAGAAAATATGTTAATATTTTAAATTTTGGCCCCTAAAATGTAAAATGTTTAAGGACCGGCCCCCTTAACCATAGATTTCTGGCTCCGCCACTGAAAAGTGGAGTGAGTACTTTTGAAAACTGTTAAAAGTTAATTTGGTATCAAAACAAAATGATTATCAATTAACATTGAACATATCAAGAGCATGTGAGTTATTTTACTTCATATAATCCCTAGCAGTAAGCCATTTTACTTTAATATTATTTTTATCCAATATAAAATTATAAGATAATTGGTTTTTAGATACTATATGACTCGATGAGTTTACAATAACTCAGCAAAAAGTGAAAAACTAATGAATCGTATACTAGACTTGACATAAACAAATCAAGACAGTTAAAATTTAGAACAAGACGTGGAATGCCTGCTTTTTATCATTGCAGATGAACACAGCAAACAAATCAGAAGCATCTGGACTGGCCAACCCATCCGCGCACAGCTTCTTGCATAGCTGGTATACATTTTCCTCACTAATCAAAATGTAAAATCAAAATGAGCGGGAATTAAACAGGCCGGCATTGAGCTATAAAGACATACAATGTCAAATAACATCAAAAATCGATTTCTACAAAAATAAACAACAAATATCGATTTTGAATAGAGACCAAATTCGGAAAAAATCGGTAACCAAAATGATCAAGGGTTTACGAGTAAGTACACAAACGAAAAGCTTCGGCGATAGTAGACACTGGAGTAAACACAAAGGAAAAACAAAACCACAAAACTAAGGGATTTCCACCAAAATGAATGATTCATACCAGTAAAAAGGGGTGTGTTGGAAGGAAGAGAGTTCCAAGTCCGAGGTTGTAGTCATCTTCCCGATTCTTCCCCTTTTACTGACCGGCGGAATTAGAAGCTATAGAGAAGGGTTCTTGCAAGTCAACTAACCAGCAATGAAGGTCTCACTGCGTCTCGTTCACTCAGGAGCCTTTCTATAGAAAGTTTTAAGAAGTCACGTGAATCACATGTGATTTTTTAAAATTTAAGACCTTTGTTCAATTTTTTCTTTAATTTCATTTTCTGCATCGGTCTCACTGACATTGAGACATGAAGAAGTCACACGATCATTACAAAAAACGAGTTTATGTGATTGATATTGAATTAATAAAGTAAGAATAAAATAAAAGTGATTTAAATTAAAATGAACTTTAACAAATTTACTATGAGACAATATTAGTGAGATTTCCCAAAAAACAAATATGGAACAATCATAGCCGGATGGAAGGAGTAAATCGAATGAAGTGCAACACATACTATAATAGGTTTGAAACAAGACAAAAGCAGTATATCATTGATTTTTGACAAAATAGTTAAAATGGTACATGAACTTGTTTCAAGTGTAGTAAGTAATACTTTGTCTTGCATTTGAAACTTTAAAGTACATGAACTTGTATTTTTATAGTCGATCAAGTACATCTACTCTGTCAGAACGTTAAAATAGTTGACCATGCCAAAGTATCCATTTGTATTATACATCCCTTATCATCTTATATTTTTCTTGTTTGTTCACCCTTCTCTCTTCTCTGCATCTTATATTTATCTCGGCTCCTCTCCCTACTATCTCACGAGCTTCTTTTTGCTCCTTTATTTTCTTTTTATTCTCTCGCTATAAAGATGAGCCGATAGCAAATAAAAGAAGAAGTCGGCAGTATAGCAGTGATAGCATCCGAGAGAGGAGAGCAGCATGAGCGGAGGTAGAGGGGTGTCAACCTAGGTCCTAATCCACTGCACATTTAAAAAATGCTTTAATTTTAAAGTAAAAATTATGTGTAAATTTTTTCCCAAAAATAATCTTTGTACTGGTTCAGTCCAATCCAGTGCCGTGGCTCCTCCCCTGGAGATCGAGCAGGCGAGAGAAGTATAAGATGAAGAGCGAAGAGAGTGGAGAGCAAACATGAGAAATGTAAGATGAAGAGCGAATGTGGAAGCAAGTGGACCGGATGAAATTAGAGTTTATAGATTAATTATTTGGTCACTTGGACTGCAACAATATTACAAACTGATAGTTTGGTCAGGTCAATTATTTTAACGTTCTAATAAAGCAAATGCACTTAATCGACTTTAAAAGTGCAAGTTCATGTACTTTGTAGTTTCAAAGTGTAAGATGTAGTACTACTTACTCCACTTGAAACAAGTTCATGTACCATTTTGACCATAGCATTTTGACCATTTTCTCAAATACAAATTATATACATATTACATTTATTTATATGAGTAGATTATTTAATGATGGTTCATTAATAGTAAGATATCCATAAAAATTGTTCAGTACAAAGTAAATGACAACATTAATTTGAAATAAGACTCTTAGATGAATAATTAAAATTAAAAAGTTTACATTACATTTTCAATCGCAACGAACAAATTACTCCGTACATAAATTTTGGATTTTCAGTTTAGATTCGGGGTTAATATTTTCATGCTTTGGATTGTTTTGATCAGAGATAAAGTAATATTCCGTATTTGAAATGCATACTTGTTGAGTTATCTTCTTCACAAGTTATTCATAGATATCGTCTCAATTGCCTAGATCAACTCTTTTTGAGATTCAATTACTACTAGAACTAACTTCTTTCAAAAAAAAAATACTAATAGAGCTAACTAAAACTAACACAATAGTAACATGATTTTTAATAATACAAACTATTTAATACTCTCTTCATTCCACAATGAACTTCACAGTTTGACTTACATACATATTAAGGAAATAAACTTACAATGAGGTAAATTTTACTATTTTGACATTGTTTCAACACTGTTTGACACTGTTTTGCAGTGTTTGACACTGTTTTGATATAGATTAACTTGCAATTTAAGGAAATAAGAACTTGTTTCTGGGATATCCAAAAAAAGGAAAATGAGAAATTCATTGCGGAACGGAGGGAGTATAAAACAAAAATAATACGAAGTCACTTTTTCACAATAAACCCGATCATCTAAGACTCCAAAAATAATGGCAACCCATCAAATAAATGATATTTGAAAATATATTCACTTGTTAGATATTTTGATACAAGTTTTTGATGAGTTAAATGGTTGAATTTTTAGTAAAAAGTTGTTCTTTATCACTTTCGGTCTATATTTAAATAGTTGGTTTTACTAAAACTTATTTCTAAAGTACATAGTATTATCGGTTCAGATAGTTTATACTACCTTTATCCCACTAATATTGGAAGGAAGGGGGTAACACTATCATTAAGAAAAGTGAATTTGTGTTGTTAATATTAATTGATAAAATAAGAATAAAATAAGAGTGATTTAGAGTCACACAAACGTTACCAAATTTGGTATGAGACAACTTTAGTGAGATTTCTCGAAAAGATAAAAGCTGACAATATTAACGGAACCAATGAAGTATTATTTAAAGTTATTTTCCTTTTATTTATAATAATATTCTTAAAAGGACTAATAAATTATTATTATTATTAGGTAAAGTAAAGATGAGACTTTTATTTATTTAACAATAATTCCGTATTATATATGGTGAGATGATAGATCTAGTGATCTGTCATTTAGTGGTCGAGTCAATCTCTTCATGGGATACTCCGTACGTATTAGATTAGATTAGATTAGATGATAGATCTCATGCATATTGGTGTACACCTACTACCCTGCACCTGCAGTCATTTTCTGCTCAGCACACTGCGGCCTTTCCCGCCGCTGCTTGATGCCGCCGTCGCAGGCGGTGTTTTAACGGTGGTCGTAGAAACCGTCTTCAATTCCTCGCTTCCCGAAATGGCTGTCCAACCATTGCTGCCGGTGCAAAGCACCAAAAGGAGCAGGAAGATGAACCCCACGGCCATTTTGGATGATGTCACGGCGTTTTCTGCTGCCATGCTATGGCGGGGTATAAGTGTAGTGTTTTCCGTCACTGCAACGTTCAGCACCTATTTATAGAGAGGAGTATCGGTTTTGGTTCAGATTTTGTTAGTATATTAAGACATATGTTACTTCTCTTATCATGTTGACCTTTTAAGATGAAACTTTATGTCTTAACAGTATTAGTACACGCACTACAATATTATTTTATAATACTAATAAATTTTTAAAATTTTGGAGCCTCATAAATTATGGGCTCTATTTTGGATATCCTATTGGGAATGACACCATGCAAGACTCCAAGTAGCAGAATTTATTTTTTCTGGTTTAGAGCTTAATAGAAATTTTCATAAACTATTTCATTATGATAAATAGTGGTTGATAAGTCCGTATTTAGACACGCATTTGATGCATGTTTAGATCTAATTTTGATGGTTCCCCTAATTATTTTGTGTCACAAGTCTCATTTTTAGCTCAAATCATAATTACCGGGTGTTGGTTCGAGTTTTGTATTGTTTAGAGTCAAAATAAGGGATTTGAGCCCAGTGCCGGTGCTTGAGGAGCAACCAGGATGATTTGAGATGCATTTGAGAATGGATTGAGAGCTTTGGGGGCCATCAGGAGGTTCACGATAAAGATTTGTAGACAAAAAAGCTCTAGGATTGGCTACGGGATCAAAAGAAGACGAATAGAGCTTGAAAACGACGATCAAGACGACCTTCTGTCAATCGTTCAAGCATATCTCTTTGTAGAAGCATCCAAATGATACGATTCAAGTCCCATATGAAATCTAACTTCAAGGGTTACAAACCATATGAAGACACCATTCCGAGAATCTGAGAGGAGAAATGTGAAAACAGACGATGAAGTCGGATGATCGCTGTTGAGATTTCAGAATGAGACCTTCCACCATTTTGATCATATCTTTTTATTGGATGATTCAAATATAAATCGGCAAGTTGTGTTGGATTGATGACTTCATTATCTACAACTTTCATGAAGAAAGCAAAGTCAAATTCGGAAGTTTGACGCACTCCGTGCGTAGGGGAACGCACGATCGTGCGTCTAAGGCGAGAATCCGGAAAACCCACTGGCAGTCACGCAAGGCCGTGTGTGGAGGGACACACGCGTGTGTGGCCCGTTTTGACGCGTGGGTCTGTCGGATGCACGGACGCCGCGCACACCGTGCGTGCCCCGTTTCAGTCCTAATTCAACTCGAATTCGTTGTTTCCTATAAACAAGGTTATCATTTACCTATTTGAGGGGGGTGGAATTTAGAAAGAAGCCTAAGGACGAATTTTGAGAGCTTTTCAGTCTTGTTCGTCAATTCTTTCAGATTCTTTGTAAGTTTCTACTTTTTTATTAATGACAATTATTTCTATTCTTCTCGATTCTATTGATTATTCAATTATGAGTTGTGAGTAGTTCTAATTAAGGATTTGGGTTTGATGAAGGGGTTATTCCTTATGTATGGCTAGGATCTTGATGAGTTAAATTGCATGAATCTTTATTTAATTTGTGTATGAATGATTTAATCGATATCTCTTGTAACCTAGAATCGCGACTAGAATTACAATTGCTGGTAAAATAAATTAAGAGAGATCTAATTTATTTTAGGACACCTTCACACACACTTAATCGTTCCCTAAGAGATTAGTAGCGATTAAGGGACCGTAAGCTCACTCGTTTTGGAAATAATTTAGGATCTTGTCGCATGAGAGATCAGCCTGGACCCCTAAATTATTGTACTCTACACCGCGAGAGCGGTAAGAAATCTTGATCTTGATCTGCCAGAAATCTGATTACCCCGGAATCAATCCTTGTTCCATATCATCATTAATTAGAAAGAACCCATTAGTTTAATTTCTTTATTCGCAATTTAATTATCCAATCAATCAAATCTCGCACAATTTATTTTATTTTATTTCTTTTTAATCGTTGAATTTAATTATTTCCTGATTCCCTTTTACCGTCCCTGTGGAGACGATACTCGTACTTACACCACTATTCTACGATCTATTTTAAGTGCGAGAAAACTCACATCAGTTTTTGGCGCCGTTATCGGGGACGGTGTCAGTTTTAAGGGTTAATTAATTTCATCGAGATGTTTTTAGTTAGTTT